ATAACTTTAAAAAAGAGGAGTTTTCAGTGCTCTTACCAAAAAAGAAATAAATATTTGAGGCAATGATATGCTAATCAGCATGATTGGATTATTCTACAATGTATACAAGAATGGAAACATTACATTGTACCAAATAAATATAATTATTATTTGTCAATTAAAAATAAGATAAAGCTTTTAAAAAGAAAGGAAGCAAGGACATTTATATGTCTTTGAGAAACTAACATTTGAAGAAAAGTAAACCAATGCCTTATTTCTGGGTGGGGAAGCTAAATTTTATAAGACATCAAATCTTAAAAATTAATTACCTGTTACATGTGTAAATACCGAATAGTTTCTCTGGTGTGAATAAACTGTAATAGCACATAAGATCCTAATGAAATAACTAACATTGTGAAATGGGAAGAAAAGAGCTAAAGGTGTAGGGAAAGTGGGAAGGGTAGGGGAAAGGGAATAAGGGAAAAATATGAGAAAATGAAAAAATGGAAATAAAGTGTTTGTAAATGGGGAGGGGAGGAGGGGGTGAAGGGAGGGCAGGGACAAGGGGAAAAATGAGAACCAAGACCTGTCATGTAAAGGTACAAGATCCCAACAATGAATGTAACTGTACTGTATCCCTAAAATGTACCAATAAACTCAATAAAAGAAAAAAATTAATTATCTGTTTAAATTTAACCCAGGCAAAATTCAAATCCACTTCACCTTGGTAAAATGATCTAAAAGAGTACATAGGAGATAATGACAAAGAAAAAAAATTTTTTGGTACCGGGGATTGAACTCAGGTCCTTGCACTTGCAAGGCAGTGAGCTAAATCACCGGCCCTGACAAAGAAATTTTTGAAAAACAGTAATAATGATGCGAGATTGTCTTATAAGATATGAAAGTATATTCTTAAGTTAAGTGAAACATTGTAGTACCGTCATAAGAATCAACGAATAACTCAGTGGAACAGAAGAGAAAGCCTTGAAACTGACATAGCTAAAAAGGTAGAACTTAATGTATAATAAAGGAAGAATCATAAATCGAGGGCAGAATTAGTCAACAGTGTGAAATGTAAGCAAAAAGAATGTATGAAATGGTTTTAACACAATATACGCAAATGTTTATTCTTGAGATTGGGGAGAACCTTTTAAGCATAAAATCAATGGGACAATCATACACATATTGCTAGATATGACTCAGATTTATAGGCAAACACAAAATGGGAAAATATTTAAAATAAATTATTAACATAAGTATGATATAAAAAGCTCTTATAAATCAATCAAAACACCAAATACTCAAAATAAAAATTTTAAAAGGATATAAATAGATGATATAGGTATGACCAAGAAATATATGAAAAATGTTAAGCACCTTAGTAATAGTTGAAATACAAACTTTTTAAATGAATGAAATTGGTGAAGATGAAAAACACACTAAAATTCCTAATGCGGATCTGATGTGATGATCCCATACTTTCCCATACAGCTGATGGGAGGATACATTTTCTTCCGGGAAAACACTTTGCGAATGTGTATCAAGAGTCTTAAACATTGAAATATTTTAAATAAATTTAAAAAGCAGCTGTAAACTGAGAAACAGCACAAGTTTAAATTTGAATACTCTAACAAGTGTTGGCCTTGCTTTGGATTCAGAGAGCTATTCCTCTCCTCGCTAGGCCTTTTCACCCATAAAATGGAGAAAATTAAAAGTACTAACTTTGCAGTACATTCAAGTCATTTCACATAGCATCCACTAAGTGATAAGTAAATCTGAGACATTATTTTGAAGCCATTATTTAAAAATAAACATGGATGTATATTATATAAAAATATGAAAAGTGCATCATTTTTTACATGTTCAACTTCTAGAAATTTAGACTAAGGAGAAATTCAAGTATTCACAAAAATATGTATGTCACATCTTTATTTGTAAAAGCAAAACCCATGGAAACAACCTCAGTATCTAGCAATAGAAGAATGCATGAATTATAATACATTTAAATGATAAAGTATTATATAATTATTTGAATTTGAAGACAGTCTAATGACAAGGAAAAATGCTAGTAAGTAGATAAAAGCACAGTATAAAACTGACTAGTATCATATTCTGAAAAACTAACATATACATTCTGTTCATAGAGAAGCAGTAAAGATAACAGTCAATTAAAATATTGGTCCAGGGATTTAGCTCAATGGTTCCTCTGCCTGCCTTGCAAGCACAAGGTCCCAAGTTCAATCACCAGTACCAAAATAATAATAATATAGTAAAACAAAATATTGATAAAAAATAACATTTATTACTTGAAAGCAGGATTATGACTTATTTTACTTTATGTAGTATTTTACACATTTTGGTTTGGTTTGGTTTTGTTTTGTTTTTTGAGACAGGGTCTCACTATGTAGTTGAGACTGTCCTGGAACTCACAATGTAGCCTAGGCTGGTCTCGAACTCACAGCGATCCTCCTGCCTCAGCCTCCTGGGTGCTGGGACTACAGGCATGCACCACAATGCTCTGCTATTTTACACATTTTTATAATGAATAGGTATTAATCCATCATGTATTTTGAAAGGAAAAACATCATATATAATGATCAGTTGCTTAATTGTGTGAATAGGCTTCCCTAGGTACTCATTTTACTGCCATATTCAGTGTAGGATGTTTGGAACACAAAGTACAAAGAAAAATTTTTTACTTTGGTGTATGCTCTCCAGTATTTCTTTTATATACATGTGAAAAAAATATTTCTGCTCAGGGGGTGAAGGGAGGGCAGAGATAAGGGGAAAAAATGAGAATCAAGACTTGCCATGTAGAGGTACAAGATTCCAACAATGAATGTAACTGTACTGTATCCCTAAAATGTACCAATAAACCCAATAAAATTAAAAATTAAAAAAAAAATATTTCTGCTCTAAGAAATCTTACTCTACTACGTGATAAATCCATTGGGCGCATTCTATGCTTCATTTAACTGTATATTTCTAGTGTCTAACTCACTTATGTATATGTTATAGGTACTCCATAATATTTTTTTGAGACAGGGTCTCAGTATGTAGTTGAGACTGTCCTGGAACTCACTACATAGCCCAGGCTGGTCTTGAACTCACAGCGATCCTCCTGCCTCAGCCTCCCGTGTACTGGGATTACAGGCATGAGCCACCACACCCAGCTGGCACTCCATAATTTACAGATTTTATAATCTGAAAAGAGTCTGAAATTGTTCCATCACAAATGTAAATAATTATTAAATCTTAGTGTTACAATTCTCAGAAGTATTTGCATTTAAATTCATCACTCACATCCCCTTCTCTTGTATATATATCACGAAAAGCATTATTTGAGGTAATATGGGGGAATATCAAAGTGATTTCTACCTTTAAAATGCTTATAATGTGATGGATTTGTAGAGTGCATAAGTAAGGCACAGGAAAAAGTAGGAAGAGATTACACTCACTGAAGTATTATACATTAGACAGTGCTAGACAATTTTCATGCATGAATTTGTTTCCTTTTTAAACATATTTTATTAGTGTCTTTTAAAAATAAAATATTGGATTTCATTGTGGTGTTTTCACACATGCATGTAATTCATTTTGATCATATTTATTCTGTGTGTTTGTGTGTGTGTGTGTGTGTGTGTGTGTGTGTGTGTTGTCACTGAGGGTCAAACCCAGGGCTTCAAACTTGCTATGTAAAGGCACCACCACTGATCTACACCCACAGCCTACATGCCTGGAATTCTTACAACAAACATTTGAAACATAAGGCTCAGATAAATTAGTGACTTATCCAACTTTACACAATGCCAGATCTAGGATTCAAACTCTGAACCTTCAGGTCCAAGAATACTGTGTGTGTGTGTGTGTGTGTGTGTGTTTTAAGCAATATTAGGTAAATGATAAGAGCCATAGTAATGCTGCAAAATGGTATAGGAGAAGCACAGAGCAATAATGAAGAGCTTGGGCTCTAGAAATGACTGTGAGGAGAGGAAAAGGGAAAGGGAAATAAAAAGAATTAAGATGTGTTATATACATGTATCAACTTGTTTGACATGTCATCATTATTACTGCAAACATACACTACTCCTAGTAATAATAAAGAAATTACTGTCTAGGGTTGAATCCTGGCTCTCTCCTATTGAACAAGTTACTTAACTTCCCTGCACCGCAATATTACCGCCCATAAAGTGGGAAGTCACACTTAGCTCAAGGTGTTGCTGGAAAGATTAAGTGAATTAATATAAGCAAAGGACAGGGTTTCACACCTACTGAAGATTCAATAAATGTTGTGTTTTGTCATAGAAAATAGGAGCAGGAAGAAATCATATCTGGCTGGGAATGGATCGATAAAGACTTTATGAAGAAGGTGACACTGGAGAAAAGGTTGAAGGCTAATGAAGAGTGGTTAGAAGTAGTGATGAATAAAGTTAGGAATGTGGAGCCATAAATAAATAGATAGATGAGGGGTGACGTGCAGCAGTGGTAGCTGTTGAAAGATAAATCTTCAAAGAGAGGTCAAAATGTGGAGAGTTTTGAATGCCATATTAAAATCTCTACCGTTAAGCACTGAGCCACGGGGACCCTTAGAAGCTTTTGAGGAAGAGGAAATTAAAGCCTTCTTCAGCTGCAGTCAAATCTGTCAACTGCAGTTTTATCCTCGACTGTTATGGACATCTGACATCAAAGGACTCCCTGAAGGCTAATATTTTGATTGAAGAAACAAAGAGAGGGAGAAGTGGATAAAAGGGAGTGAATCCTGAAAGAGGCCAAGTGAGAGAAAAAAATAGCATGTGTACCTCGTGGGAAGTTGTTAAAAGCACATCTTCCTTAATTCCTCCATTTAGGGGCCGCTCAGTGACTGAACTGGAGGCGCAAGCTATCTTCTTTGCACTTAAGACTTGAAGTTCTCACCTCAGTTTAGGGTCTCGTTTAACTTCTGAACCGATCGTCCTTTTGGTCTGCGAAGTGCAAGCGTAGGGCATTAGGACCCAGCGAGTGTTGTAGTGAGAGTGGTTGAATTTCGATCTCTCAATTTTTCGCTAGCGCTCCCTGCTCTCCCTTTGTCATTCTAGCTGCCTGCTGCCTGCGCAGCGATCCTAGCTCTGCCTGTGCTAACTGCCAGCGCAAAGCGGAAGGATTAGTTGGGACCTGCCTTGGTGACCCCATGGCATCCCCGAGAACCGTAACTATCGTAGCCCTCTCAGTGGCTCTCGGACTCTTCTTTGTTTTCATGGGGACTATCAAGTTGACCCCGAGGCTCAGCAAGGATGCCTACAGTGAGATGGTAAGTGAGGCACAAGGGTGCTGAGGAGCGCACCCCTACGGCATTGCGAGTACCTCCCCGCTTCTTTCGCCACCTCTGGTCCCATCCCTTTAACCTCTACCCCCAACCCAGGTCCTCCCTTGTCCCCAACAAGTTTGCAGCTTAGAAGGAGCAGCCGGACAAGAGTGATTTCATTTGCAGGCTATGCTGGGAACAACTGTTTCGGAGCCACTGGATACCAGTTGGGGGAGGGGCTGCCCAGCGAGTACCACCAACCACAAGTAAACCTGAATGCTGAGACCTGCGCATCACCTGCAGCAGGAGCCTTTCCCTCTTTCCAGCACACACCCAAAGTCCAGGCCACCCGTCTGCAAAGTCTGATCCTTTCTTTGGGAGCTAAGAGTTTAGCAAGCTAGAGACTTTTTATTTTAGGGAAGAACAAAAGCGAGAGACGGGAGCAGCTGAGAATGGGCTACTAAAACAAGAAATTTGTAAGGTCTGGCTAGATATTCATCCCAGGCATAAAGTCGATAATATTCATCTAACCACCTGGGTGCATATCTGGATCCTTGAGACAAAGCAGTCTTAGCTCAAATAAAGGTCACTGAGCTCTCGCTTCTTCCCCTTCTCCCAAGAGAGAGCTGGATGCTTTGTTTTATTTTGTTTTGTGTGTAGGCAAATCTGCAAAATCTGAAAAGTCTTCCTTTTCTCTCCTGCAAAACAGCCCTTAATCCCCACTGTGTCTCCTGTGGATGCCCAGGGCCAGGCCCTCTGCAGGGTTTCCCCTCTGCAGAGTTGGAATCACCCGAAGGTGACTGGACAAAACATCTCTGCAACCAGGGGGCTGGGCTGCTTCCCCCAGTTGGGTGTGATGAGGACTTACACTTATGTTGTGGGGTACCAGGAAACAGCAAGAGATGTTTCCAGCACTTTCAGTCTCTCGCCCTGTCACTTTGCCTCTTCATTTCCTAGCCCCAGCTGAAGGGAACCTGCTCAAAGCCTTTTCCAGACTTCCAGTAATGGGAGGGAGCACGTTATGGGACTCTCAAGGTCAAGAAGGAAATGTGCTTGGGAAAGACCACAAGGGAGAGAAAAAAAAGAGCATGAGGAAGTCCCGGTTAAGGCCAAGGCAGGGAAGAATACCTTTACATTTTGAGAGGAATTAATGCCTCTCCTGGAGCTTACTGCAGAGCTTACCAGGGTCCCTCACCATGAGCTGCAAATAGATGGAGACTGGCAAATGGGAGATGCCCTGAAAATGTTAGCAGGCAGCTCTGGATTCTGTCTCAGGATTTGAGCTTGAACTCTCCATTCCTTCTTTACCACAGGACCACTTTGGGGTGGGGGGTGGGGGAGCTGGGACTCAGCGGTTTAGGAATAGACCCAGTGGTAAATCCTAATATACTTCTCCTTCTCCCCTCCGCTCCTCCTAGAATGTTTGACCAGATGGAATTGAAATCAGGTCAAAATAATAATCTCCAGCATCATGTGTAGGTGGGGGGTTGAAGCAGAGGGTGTGAGGTAGCAGAAGCTACCAAAGGGCTTGAAGAAACTGGGGCAGAAGGGCAGAGTGGAAAGGAAATGCCGTTATATTTTTGTCCTAATTGTAATAAGTGTTAGATTATAAATAAATGAATGTGCTCATACTTTACTTTTCATATATAGATATATATAGATAGATAGCTATAGATATAGATATTTGTATATACTATAAGTGTTTTTAGCTTTCCTTTTCCTTAGGGCCACAGTACCCTCTTCAGCAGACTCCTTGCACTCTAGACCTTGCTCAGCTGCCTTGGAGCCAGCCCCCCAAAGGCACTCTAAGTACAGTGTTAGGCTGTGCAGGCAACCCAACTAAGATGGAGTCACCGGGAAGCTTCCTACCAGGTTGGCAGGAGCTCACGAAGAGAACCAGCCACAAATGGGTTTACAGTAGGTTTCCTCTAGGGAGTAGAGCTGTCTATTGCAGCCAAATGAGAAAGAGAGAGAGAGCGAGAGAGAGAGAGAGAGAGAGAGAGAGAGAGAGAGAGAACAAGAAGAAAAAGAAGAAATAAACATGAACATTTCATATCATACACAGTAATATACTTAGTTATAATCTAATACAGCAGTATAGACCCATTGTGTGCATGTGTGTGTGTGTGTGCGTGCATGTGCGTGTGTACACATTTTATGCTTCTGTGCTTGGGCAGCTGGAGGGAATGGAAAGACTATAGCTAACTGGGAGGTAGGTGGCACAGTGGTATGTCGCTTTTAGAGGATTTTCAAACTGCACTTTTCCAGTGCCCTTCCTGAACTGAGCATCAGGCCAGTGCATAGTGCCTAGGCTTCTCCCAGCTTTTATCTTTAGCCCATAGGAAAGTAGAGAGTTCAACAAAGAGGGCCATACACACACACACACACACACACACACACACACACACACATATATATTTCCAGAATGAATGGGTAAATGAATTATGCTGTAGCATTGCCTTGGCTAGTCACCCTCAGATTTTCCTGGTTTGCTCTTGATAAAGCAGTTCAGAAGCCATTTCTTGCTTCTTGGAAGGGCCAACAGCTCCTCAGAACCTCAGGATGGTCCCTCAGATGGGATGATAGTCTGGAATTTCTGTTTTACATTTAGGAGTGATTTCTCCACATTGACAGTCATATATTGACTGCAGTGACTTTTTTCATATGCTCTCAAAATGCGCTGCTGTTGTGATTTTTTAAAAGATTGTTCTTTAAAACATTTCTGTGAGTAGTTTCATGCTTAGTAGTTATTCTTCTATTACTAACAGGTACACTGAAGCACAACAGGTTTAATGACTCATCCAAGGTCATAGGTAAGCTATTGGAGCAGAGATTAGAGGCCAAGTCCATGACTTAATACTCCCAGTAATGGGGTTATTATGATTAAAACTCCTGGATTTTCTGAATACCAAAACCTACAATTGATCCTTGAAAATATCTTGCACATTCTTACCTCCTTTTTCTGTATCAGTTCAACTCCCTAATGTATATTTTGGGGTTTTGTTTTACTTCAGAACCATTTTTGAGGGGGTGGTATGGTACTAGGGACTGAACCCAGGGCTTTCACACTGAGCTACATCCCCATCTCTTTATTACATTTTATTTTTGAGACAAGATCTCACTAAGTGTCTAAGTTGCCCAGGCTGGGCTTAAAGATAAGATCATCCTACCTCAGTCTCCCAGAGTGCTGAAATTACAGTCATGTGCTACCACTCCTGGCTTCAGAACCAATTTAGGTTAAATTTAGTTTTTTTGTTTTGCTTTTCTGCCATTTTCCCTTGTAAAGCCATTAGTATTATGCTTAGGTGTTACCTCCTCCACGGAGAATCACTGTTAAAACCCATCAGACAAATGACTGAAGTTTTTCCTGGCTCTATGGGAGAAGCCAAGAAATGTTGGTGGAAAGACTGCAGTCTTTGGATTCATACAGACTTAAGTCCACGTCCTGATTCTCTTAGCCTCTCAGTTCCCTTATTCGTAAAATGAGAATAATGATACCTACCTTAGAAAATTGTAAATATGAATTGAGATTGCATATGAAAGTGTCTGGCACAGTGCTTACTATAGCAGGGGTTGAAGAAGTGCTTTGGGTGAGGTGATGATTATAATTTGTTTTATTTTATGCAGTGGTTTTCTATTTGAATGATTAGTTTAAGGGATTGAAATCAAGCATTTAGAAGAACAAGATGCTAATTTTGCATGCACTGGTGAACAATGCACAATCAACTAATATTGAAAAGTCAACTTGCTGTTGTGCAAATCATAGGGATCTCATGTACAACCAATTCATGCATCTCTGACTAGTCCATTTGACATGTGTTGTCTCATACTCTCTTTTGAATAAGCTATTATTATTTTTATTATTAGATTTTTTGAGACAGGGTCATGCTACATAGTTCAGGCTGGCCTTCAACTCCAAATGTAGCCCAGGCTACCGCAAACTCATGGTGATCCCCCTGCCTCAGCCTCCCAACTGCTGGAATTACAAGCATGCACCATCATACCTGGCCAAGAAAAATGAAATATTATTACAGAACACTCTAAATTTTACACGATTCCAAAATGATCACATTTTGCATTTGATCACATTTCACATAATGGAAATGTCTGCATTAATTCACTTGAATTGAGAGGCAGTACATTATAAGTGCTATTAAGTACATTTGTGTTCAGTGACTGGGAACATATGAATGGTTAACTTGCATTAAATTTGATATTTGGCTTTCTATAGTAGTGGTTCCATTCTGTAAGCACAGGGGGGACTACATGAGGAATGATTAGAAAACACCAAATTTCTGTCACAAAGCAGCCAAAGAATTTTGGCCCTGAGGATAATAGAGCAAGTCACTAATTTTTTTTTTTGCATCCTCTCATAGTAAAGATTAGTTGATTTGACTGATTTAGTTATCCATAGTTAAAGCTCTTCTATTTACATCACCCTGGAGAAATACCCCCAGTATGTTTGAGCAGTTTATTTAGTTTTCATAGGCAATCTTTAAGCTTCCAGTCACTGCCATTAATTGCTTGTCAACTAGGTAACAAGGTAGTGATTCACTGATACTTAGACTGCTCTCTGAGGTGGTATAGTACATTTTTGCCCTTAGAGAGGAAACTGAGATCCTGAGATCTGAAGTGACTTTGCTTAGTTCATGCAATCAGCCATCATGAGCTCAACTATACATCAGAGATTATGGTGGGGAACTTGTGGACTCTCAGTATGGCCAACAGCTGAGTTTATTTCAGAGTGACCTTTGGCAGAGAGTAGAAAGCACTCTTCTGCCCTAAGATGCAATATAGAAAGGATCCACTTAATAGGACCAGGCTTGCCAGCTTCCACTTTAGGTGGGCACTAAATGAAAATGTAAAGTAGAATTGGTTAAAAGATGTTTATCATACATATGGATATCTGGCAATTAAATATATCATGGCATCTTTATTGCATTTAAACAATGATTTATGATTCAGAGATAGCTTTATTTTTCCTACAGAGATTTGGGAAAATAATA